CCGAAATTTTAAGTCCATAATTTTTGTTTTTATTTATAAGAGCTCGTTCTTAGGCCCAGAACAATGGCTAACCTGACTAATCCTACAGCTGTAAGTGCCAGCATCCCATATGGGTGCCAGTTCCTGTCCTGGATGTTCACTTCCCACCCACCTCCTTGCCTATGGCCTAGGGAAGCAACAGAGAATGGCCCAAACCTTTGGGATCCTACATCCCCACGGGAGACCTAGAAGAAGCTCCTGGCTCCTGGGTTTGGATTGGCTCAGCTCCAGGTGGTCAGGGTATTTGGGAAGTGAAATAAGTGAATGGAAGATTTTTCTCTCTGTCTCTCCTCTCTGCAAATCTGCCTTTCCAATAAAAAATAAATAATTCTCTCAAAAAAGCCATTCTTTTTTAATTCTCCTTTTAATTTATGTAAAATGAGTGGATTTCGCATTTTTCATGATACAAGTTTAGAAGCATAGACTCTACCCTCCCGTCTCTCCCTCCCCCCTTCCCTATTTTTTCCCCAAATTATTTCAACAGCATATTCATTCACTTTGATCTTCTCTTCTTCTTTGGCATTCTGTTCTTGTTTGGTGGATATAAACTGTTTGCCTCCCTGAAAATATTGTCATTTTAAAGTCTTCTTCTAAACTCTCCAGTTATCTTGCTTTTCTCCTAATTTCATTTTTATGCTACTATCTTTCACTAAGTATCTAGTAAGATTTTGGCTACTTGTTTGAATTGAAGCAGGAAAAGGTAGATGGATGCCTTGACAGGAGGTGAGGGCTGTTCATTGCTTGGTGATCTTTGCTATAGAATTATAAGTCAGAATGCTGGCTTTTTATGGGGAGTCCAAGGATCGGGTCTGTGGTTTTTTGCTCTTGGGTCAGTTTCACTTGGAAGCAACCCTCCAGTCTCCCTGCTTTTGGTGTGAGATGAGTATATAAAGCTTGCCTGCCAGCGTTCAGGGAGCCAAACAGGGAAAAAGAGCAGAGAATTTAAACATTCCTTTTGGTATAATGTCAAAACTCTGCAGAAAGTAGCTCTCACATCTCTTGCCAGGATGAGGAAAAGAGAGTCTCTGGTTAGTGGATCTGGGGACCTAACTGTTCCTCACGCAAACTTTCAACTTTCTGTGGCACTCCGTCAGCTTGATGTTGTTGGCTTCCTGATTCAGCTTTCTCTGGTCTGTTGCTGGTTATGACGCAGCATCCCTTTATATCTTCCAAACATTTGTTGACAATCTCTTAGTCATGGGCATCTCTTTTTCCATTCTCATTGTTTTCGTGGGCTTATGTCATTTTAGACTGTCATTTCACTGGGATTTCCTGAATGCAGATAAAACATATGGAAACAACTGTATTTAATTGTCTTGAAACACAGTTCACATTCTAAAATGTTAGTGATATCATTGAAAAATGTTCTTTCCAAAGCCATCAAACAAATACCTTCTTGGTAAACATAATAGACACTCTTTGGCTTTATCATATTTGGTTTCTCAGTAGCTTTTGTCCTTTCTGATCATTTTTACTTGAAATTGTTTGTGACCTAACTTCCATGAACACTACTGGGTTTCTTTCTACAGGTGCGATTTCTTTTGTCTTTGTGAGCAACTCTTCCTTAACCTGTTCCTGTAATGCTATTATTATTCAGGATCCTGTCTTTAGCTTTTCTTTTCTCTTACTACACATTCTCCTTGTTGCAAAATCTTTAGCTACCAGGGCTTGCTTTACTATCTGGATGTTAATAATTCTCAGCTGTCTAATCTTCTCTTCATGGGCTCAAATATAGCTTCTTGCATGGGTGAACTAATTTGTGTATCTATGTGGCATGATTTGAAAATCATGCACACAATCTAAGTATCTTCCACACTGGTCTCTGACAGGTTCTGAAATCGTGTTACATTGTCTCCTGACACTCTTCATTGTATTAAGGCTGAAGAGAGAGAGAAACTGAGGTATCAGTTAAAGTGAAATTTTAGCCATTATATTGTCCCTAATAGAGATCAAGTCTTAGGCAGATTGCAGCAAGAGAGCAAACACTGTGACTGACACAGTAGTGTAGCACGCTAATCTGTCTGCCATGCCAGCATCCTATATGGGCACCAGTTTGAGTTCCAGCTACTCCACGTTAGACATAGCTCCCTGCTATGCCCTGGAAAAGTGGTAGAGGATGGCCCAGTGTTTGGGCCCCTGCACTCATGAAGGTCCTGGCTTGCAGCCTTGGATCAGCCCAGCTCTGGCCTTTGTGACCATTAAGGGAGTGAACCAGTGGATGGAAGATTTTCTCTTTATCTCTCTTTGTTTCCTGTCTCCTCCTTCTCTCCCTCTGTAACTTTGAATTTCAAGTAAAATAAACAAATATATATACATATATCTATTTTTCAAAAGATAGCAAACACTGTTTCTTGCTTTAAGAAAGAAAGACAAACATGAGCATATATATATACCACCACGTGTGATTTTTAACTCTGTCATTTAATGTTTTAATCTTGTAGCCACTGTTAACATTGGGTTGGGTATTTTTAATAAACATAAGGTCATTCCATGTGTGCTGTATTATTCTTACATTTAAACCTAGTATATGATGAAATTTTAAGCCATAATATTGGATTACATTATTGTAAAACCTGATTCTGGTGATCTCATGACACTCCATCTTTTGATGTACATTATGTTACTTAGCTAAATCAGCATTGTGAGATAATTAGCTTACCTATGATGTTCGGACTGCCCTCATAGTTGTATCTATGCATGTGCTTCAATGAATTCCTTAGCAAAAATGTTACAAAGTAGAATGTTGATGCTGTCACACAAGAATATTACATTTAAGCTGTTTTCATATTTGACATTAAAATGAACCTCCAAAGTGTATATCATTTTTAATCCTAATAAAAATTTTAATAGAAATACCTTGAAAGCTTTTATATAATTATTATGTGTTATCTCATAATTAACATTTCTTTTGACTTTTTAATATTTTTGACCACTTGTTTACATGTCTTGCAAGTTAACTCTCTGTTTTATTTACCCTTCTGTTATCACTTTGCTTTTTGCTCATTATTAGACATTTTCCTGCTCACAATTTTGACCACTTCAGCCATAGTACTCTTCTCAAAACATAAACTTAAAGATGAGCACATCTCTATTTATGATTCAATGATTCCCACCACTATTAAAATAAAATTCAAAGTTTGCCATTTGGCCTCCCAGACCCTTCTTGACTCTGCCTCATTCTCCAGAGTTTAGCCCAGAAGGACATAACCCCCAACCCCCATAACCCCCCCCCCCACACACACACACATCCCTACACTATCTCTGCTTATCTAACTCCTAGTCATTAGATGTAGATCATGGCTTAACATTAACTTTGTTTGGGATTGCCCTTAGCCCCCAAGTCCATGCTGAAGAACTCTTGTGTATGTTCTACTCCCTTAGCAGCGGTGCTTACATTACCTGTTTAAGGTCTGTAAACTGTGAGCTCTGTGAGGGCAAGAGCAAGGGCTGCATTGCAAGTACCACAACAAACTGGTTTTCCCTGTGTATCTCTATTGCCTAGCACAATGCCTATTAGTTATCCTGAGTAGATATTAGATGGATGGATGGATGGATGAATGGATGGATGGATGTGGAGAAAAAGGTGAGGGAGATTAGAAAGAAATTTTCTGAGTCAGTTTTTTGGCTTAACTGTTTCCTTAAAGAGGTCATTGTCTCCTTACTCACCAAATTCTGGAAGATTGGATATTCAGTGTTAGGCCTGAAGATGATGCTTTTACTCTGCCTTCAGAAACAGCCAAGATTTGTTCATAGATGTATGATAGGGTTTACATACATGAGGAAGGTATTTGTTCAACTCTTCATCCCCACAGCTGGTCCACCATGAACATTCCCTCGCTGGTCTTCTTCATGCAACGCTTCTTCCACTCTAACCTGCATATTGTTACCAAGTTTATTTTTTTTCTGTCCTGTGATTTGAATTCTCAGGGATCTCAACTGACTGTAATTCAAAAGATGTGGCACAGGACTTAAACATGTATATTTTAGTAAAAGCTCCCCTAGATGGTTTTGGTATGTAGCCATGATGAGGAGTTGCTGAAGTGTATAAAATAAACCTCATTTTTGAAAGCAAGGAGCAGTCTTAATTGATTAAATATGCAGATCTTACAATTAGATGGACATGGGTTCAGTTGTATTTTTGATCATAATTAATTATGCAATTGTGGGTAAATAATTTAATATTTCAATGTATCTACTTTTTCATTTGCAAAATGGAAATAATGTGTAATATATAGAGCTATGATAAGAAATAGTAAATTAGATAATGTATATAAAATGCATTCATAGTGCTTTGTATGTGCTGAATACACATTAAATATTTGAAGCTGCTTTGTTATTGTTAGTCATTCAATAAATCATTCAACATTTATTTTTCACTGTATATTCAACATTGTGTTAGGGATCATGTAAGATATGAGGTAGGAAATATAGCCCTTACTCTGAAGATGCTTAGTTGGAGAATAGAAAATTATTATGACATTGTACAGTAGGAGAATAATAAATGAAATACAATTACTATAGAAGATTACCAAAATATATTATTATCTTAGTATGCTAGCCTGTTGATTAGCAAAATAAAGTAGGGAAAATCACTCAAACTGGTAGAAAAAATTCAAACTGCTTTTACTAAGGCTTCAGAGGTCTAGTTTGGATGCTTCCTGCCAGATGGAAAATGATGCAGAGGGGGAAAAATGCTGTATTTACATGTTCAAATTAAGACAGGATGGAGCGACGTGTTTGAGGGGTGAACATATGTGAGTAAATATGGTGTAACTGTTAAATGGTTCCTTATGGTTAAAGTTGAGGTTGTTCCATTAGAAAAGAACAGATATGATATTTTCACTTAGTGAATGAAGACTTGCAGTCATTTCTTTTCACCTTGTTCAACTAGTAACTAAACACAGGATAAGGAGCAAAGTTATTTTGATGTATATTGATATGTTCTTTTATTTCTTCTACAGGGTCGCTATGGCAACTGCATCTTCTCAAGTTCTGATTCCAGACATCAATTTTAATGATGCCTTTGAAAACTTTGCTTTAGATTTTTCCAGAGAAAAGAAACTGCTGGAGGGGCTAGACTATTTAACAGGTGTGAAAATGCTATGCTTGCCTTCCTAATTTTTCCTTTCAGTGTGCTTTTACTTTAAAATAACATGAAATGGGTAATATGTATAACAGATCTTTCTTATAATATTTAAATGATATAGTTACCATTTAGATAAATAAGTTTACTTCATGTAACGGAAGAAAATGATCATTTGTCCACTCTTTCTAGGATTAGGAAGATTATACTATTCATACTTGAAAGTCAACCACAAGGGAACAGTCAAGTGGCAGTTAGGGAATATTACAAAATGTCTCATATGACACAGGCATCGCCTGTAAGACTTTAAGGCAACTTAGGTATTAAATTAGAAAAAGGTAAAAAGTATGTGCTGTGGAGGCTGTTTTCGAAAATGAGGAATGCAATTAGCCTGTTTTAAAAAAGGATGGCTACCTTTAGGATTCTATATTGACCACTTAATGAAGAAAAATACACATAATAACTTTGCAGCTATTAATTCATTAACACAGTCATCCTGTTTTAAACACCTAGTTATATTAATTTTATATCATTAATGCTTACAACAAATTAATTTATTATGATTCCCATTGTGTAGATGATAGAGATCATTAATTTGTGCTTGACGCCATTGCCATTTATATATGTATTATCTATAACAAATCCTACCTTGAAACAAAAAGAAATAGATTGAGGGACGTGTAAGGAGAAAATTATATGACCACTTTGCTCTAATACTGTGCAAATGTTTATACAGGTAGACTAGACAGCTGGAACAATCATTATAGCACTCAGGTTGATATCTTTGCTTAGGATGTATTTTGCTGTGGGAACAACAATTACTTTGGGGAGCTTGAGGGCGCAGGTCTTTGCTTCAAGATACAAGGTTCATACAGTCTAAAGCTGCTCTGTTAAGGGAACTTCTGTAAGAGGTGTTGGGTTATACAGGAATGCTAAGCATTATACAATTCTGGAAGTAAGAATGTGTTTGCCTTACCTTTTTTCCCCACCTTTCCTTGCAGCCCCAAACCCACCATCTATCCGAGAGGAACTCTGTACTGCCTCCCATGACACCATTACAGTCCACTGGATCTCTGATGATGAGTTCAGCATCAGCTCCTATGAGCTTCAGTACACCATATTCACTGGCCAGGCTAACTTCATCAGTAAGTCATGGTGTAGTTGGGGCCTGTGGCCAGAGATAAGGAAATGTAAGGAAGCAGTAAGCTGCTCAAGATTGGCCGGGGCGCCACGAGGCAAGTGTTTGTAAGACATGTTAGGTTGTTCAGTACAGTGTTTCATAGACAGTGTAAGCTCTCCAGGGCATTGCAAAGATATAACTGATGGGTGACAAGCAAGTTACATATTCCCTTCCTGAGAAATCACTGGGAACACTTTGTTTTCGTAATCTAAGCCTTTCCTCGGTTAACCCATATCACTCTACTCTCCCAAGGAGAGCCTAACTCACTATTTGTTTCTACATAGCTAAACCACCATCATTGCTGGTTCTGTCTGTGTGAACATCTCTGTCTCTGAATCTTTCTTCACTTCATTTCATGGTAAAATATGTAATGTTCAAAGATATTCTTTTATTGTACCTATTTGTGTCAGTAAATACAGTGACAAGTCTCCTGCCTTTGTCACCCTTCCCTTTACTCCTCCCTTTCACCAAGAATTGCAATAAATATAAAAATGTTTCAAGTGAACCATAAAATGAAACACACTGATGAAACTCATATGCTATGGTTTCACTTTCTGGTAAATTGGAGCAAGACAAGGCAAAGTAAGAATTTGACTTATTGAGGGCCAGTTAGGAAGATTTGAGCTAAAACTTCCCCTCACTGTGCTGGGGGAAAATAGAAATGAAAACAGAATTAAAGTTAGATCCAAGAATGGAAATGATTCTCACCCTGTGGCTGCATCAGCATGGATGCGAATTAGTGTTTCTTTCTATCTTTGTGTTTGTACTTCTGTGTCTAACCTCACAGGCCAGCATGAGAGGAGATTTTCTAACTAACCCCTCCAGATTTACTTCCTTTTCCTGTATTGTGACAACTCTGGGACAGAATTCTGTTCTGTGACATAAGTGGGGTGGGTAGAGATGAGAGAATGTTTTGGGATCAGACTAAAAAAAAAAAAAAACCCAAAAAACACTTGCCTCGTGCAGCTCCAACCTAAGCCGCTTGGCTGTATAACTGTGTTCCTGAGTGTTTCTTCAGATTGTGAAGTCACACTCAAAGTCCTCACCAACATTCTTTTCCATACTAGTCTCTTCTGTTCTAGAAAAATCAAACAGCCAGAAACTGTACTACTCCTTCTTGATACAGGTAGAACAGTCATTTTACAAGGAGAACAAGTTCAAGGAATGACAGAGATCTAATGGCTGTCACCTATGTTATCAAGGCTATGAATAGTCTTGTAAAAGAAAAGCGTCAAGGATAACTCAATAATGACAGGATCGTAGCATTTTAGAATTAGAATAAAAATTAAAATTCCTCTAGCCCCCTCTTCTTGCCTTCTGCTGAATATCAGTAGACAATTGTCCCATCTCTACTTCATCTTCTCAGTTTGAGAAGCTCACTTCCAACAAAAAACCCATTTAGTTGTTATGCAGCTGAATATACTTGCCAGTGCTTCCTTGTAAGAGCGCTAACTCTTCCTCTTAGTAAATAGTGACAATAGTAATGTTCAGGTTTATTCTGCTTTGCCATTCATAAACATATCCGTTTTACTCTATCAGTCCTCAGCAAGCTCTTAGTTTATTAAATAAATGATATTCTGTTTCACAGATGAAGAAATTGAGGTTTAAACTAAATGAGTTGTCCAAGGTCATAGAGCTACAAACTGATGGACTCAAGAATGGAACACAAGCCTGCTAGACTTTCAGCTTGATCCTCCTTGAATTGAACCACAGCTACCACTAGTCATATCTCTTGCCTTCTGTTCCTCATGAACAAACCTAGTCCATCTCTGGCATATGAGCTCCTCAGATAATTTTAGGCAGCGCATATGTCCTCTTTAAATGTTCTCTTTTTAGACATCCTCAGTTCTTTTAATTGCTCCTCATATGGAGTAGTTTTCTGGCCCATTATTTCCTGATAATCCTTTTTATGGAAACAGTCCTGTTTGTCAAAGTGCTTTTTAAAATTTTGCTTTCAAGAAAGTATCATTTAGCCTAGTGGTTAAGACATCCACATTCTATTTTAGAATACTTACGTTAATATCTTGCTGCAGGTGCTGACTACAGCTTCCTGGTAAATAAACCCTGGAACCATGGTGATAGATTCTTGTCACTTCACATGGGAGAGCCAGGTTGAGTTCCCAGCTCCTGGCTTTGGCCCCACTCAGCCCAACCACTCTGAGCATTTGGGGAATGAACTAGTAGAGGGGAGTGTTCTCTCTGTCTCTGCTACTCAAGCAAATTAATGAATAAATGTGTTTAAAAGGTGAATGTAACATTCCAGAAGTAGTCTGAGCATTGCAGAGGACAGCCAGATTATTTCTCCTGTACAGTATGCCATGCTTCCTTCCCTTTATCTTTTTCTTTTCAGCAGCCATAGGCTACTGACTGTTTACTGAGTATTTAGTGAATTGAAATCTCCATGTATTACAAATCTTGTTCTTTTCTTACACAATTGTCTAAAACTGAAATGCAACATGTTAAAAATGTATTCCTAATGCATTTTATTTAATTAGCTTTGGCTTATTATTTCAGCATGCCAAGCTCCTTTTGGATATAGTCAGTCTTAACATATATTTTCTTTTTTTGGAGAGGGGTTGTATGTTTGTTTTTTATTGCATTTCATTTTGCAACATCATTTCATAGGCTCTGATGTTCCCCCAACCCCTCCCCGTGTCCTCCCCCCATGGTGGATTACTCCACCTTGTTGCAGTATTACAGTTCAAATCCAATCTTGTTTCTTTCATTGCAAGCATGTGCCGTGCATAGAGTCCAGCATCTTGTTGTCCAGCTCAATTCAACAGTTTCTTGGGGAGACCATCTCTGTTCTGAAGGCAGAGCTGGCAGAATATCGTTCCGACCAACTAAAAGCCATAACATAACATCAACAACAATTTCCAACATTATGGGGTTAATTGACATTGTATTGACTGATATGTCAGAAAATGTGGGTTCTTAACCACATCCTGTGACTACTTCATTAACATTTCAAGTTTAGTTTGTATACAATCGGCTGTAGGATACTATTCAGCTGTCTCATTTCTATTTTCATTTTAGTATTTAGCAGTTTATTGTATTGAAGCATAATTTTTACTGAACTTGGCAGATTTTAGAATAGTCCAAACTGGCTTATAGCTTTAACAAGGCATATGTCACCAGCTGAGGCACAGGACACTGTTAGGAGGGGTGTGCACAGAAATCCTCAATACCCTAGTTAGGAGTAACTTATCTTTGTGTCCTACCTAGTAAAGGTATATGTGAATTCAGCTGACCATTTCCTGTCTAGTTCTAAGCTTTCCTTGCTGTTCTCTGTCTATTCTAATTTTGTTTGTTTTGTTTTGTTTTTTTGGGGGGGGGCTCTGGGGCGATCCTGATGGTCATTGCAAGAGAGGGTGAGGATCCAAAGTTGGAACTAAATAAGGACCAGAGAAAGCTCCTCTCCCTAGTGCCAAAGGGAGTTTATTGTTCTTCTGTTTCTGTAGACCGCTCAGGGCTCCTGGCTGTGTTCCAGTGACATTGGGCTCTGCGATGAGGGATTTGAACTTCTTCTACCCCATGTGGGAGATTCAAATGCGAGTGATGACCTCGGAGTACTTGGCCTCCGAAGGCACTCCAATTCCCTGTGGTCTCCTTGGCAGTTGGAATGTAGTCCTTAGTGCCCATGTATTTTCTTTTCATACCCATCTGCCATCTATGTCCTCCTCTGGTTATTGAGGTCAAAGTCCAGAGGGACAGGAAAAAGAGTAGAGACCCGAAGTAGAATTAAAGATGCCAATGGGAAGCTCTTTTGTTAGGAGTAAATATTTGTGAAGATTCAAGGAAAGTCCTAGTCTTCTCCGCTCATCTGGCCCACCTTGGTACCCTCATCCTCTACTTTCCCTTGAGGATTTTTCGTTTTCTATCCAGAAATTTGCCTTAAAAAAAAGATTCATCTAGTTTTTCTTTTTTTTTGGAAAGTCAGATTTTACAGAGAGAAGAGACAGAGAAAGATCTCCCATTTGCTGGTTCACTCCCCAAGTGGCTGCAATGACCAGAGCTGAGACAGTCTGAAGCCAGAAGCCTGGAGCTCCTTCCAGGTCTCCCACACAGGTGCAGGGCCCCAAGGCTTCAGGTCATCTTCGATTGTTTTCCCAGGTCACAAACAGGTAGCTGGAAGGAAAGTGGAGCAGCCAGGATATGAACCAGCACTCATGTGGGATCCTGGCGTTTGCAAGGCAAAGAATTTAGCCACTAGGCTACAGTCCTGGGCCTAAATTTGTGCCCTTTTTTTTTTTTTTTTTTGGTCTAGAATTAAGTATAGAAAAGTAGCTGCCCCATTTTTCAACTTCATTCCTATTTTAAACTTTATTCCTATATCTAAGATTTGAAATCATCACAACCATCAGATGATGCTGTTAGCTGAATGAAAATTCCAGCAGTTGTTTGTCTTCCTGATTACTGTATTATCATTTCTCTGTTTCAATTTTGTGTTTTGCATTAAGAAAGCATTAGATGTAATGTCTTTCTGCTCAAGTGGTTAGTAACATAATGCCACAGTGATATAACTTCCGTTTCCCCTTCATCATCATGCCAATACTTTGCACCACACATTTACACTCAGGTTTATGACTGACTGTATTGTGGTCTCCTTTTTGAATCAGAGGTATACTTTCACTACCATAATTCAAATATTATGTCTCATTTCATCAAGTCTCAATAGTACAAAGGCAATACATACTTTGCCTTTTAAAATTTAGAAATGACTGCAAAAATTACAGAAAATTGGTAAGACCAGCACAAAGAGCACCCATTATAATACTTTTTACCAAGATTTCACCTATTAATATTTTGCCCCATTTGCTCTATCATTCTTAAACATTTCAATCTTTTTGTGTTTTGGAACCATTTGAAAAGTAAATTGCATACATCATGGCCTCTTACCTCTACTTCAGTGTATGTTTCCTAAGAATAAAGCAATTCCCTTGCATAACCACAGTATAGCTATCAATTCTTTAAAAAGTTTGATATTGATGCATTCCTGTTATCCAAATATTCCATATCATATTCCAGTTTTTCCAATTGGTTCAGTAATATTATTTATAGCATTTAAAGAAACCAAAATTGTCCTATGTAGTCTTAAGATCATGTATTGCATTTAATGATCATATCTCTTCAGCTTCTTTATTCTGGAACATTCCTTAAGCTCCCCCTTCTCTCTCTCTCTTTTTTTTTTTTTCTTGAATGAGACTTTTGTTTTAAGTGCTCTTTTATGTCCTTATCATGACTCTATTCCTTACTTTGGGTTTCTGTGATGTTTCCTCACAATTATTTTCAGGTTATGCATTCACAGGTGGAACACTGCATAAGTGATGCCATGTCCTTCTTCAGGGCTTATATCTGGAGGCACAGAATGTCCATTTGTTCATTAATGATACTAATTTTGATGGCCTCATCTCACCCTCATCTCTTCCTCTGTTTTGGCATTACTTGATGATTCTTGTCTGATCCAGTTTTTACTGTGATTGCAAAATTATGACATATAGTATTAGTTATAAGTTGCTGCATTGACATTTATAAGTTGGTGCTCACATTCTACTTTAAACGTGCCCCTCCACTTCCTGTTTCTCATTTGTTTATTGACTTATTAGTAGGGACTCACAAAATCTCCTTTTTCAATGGTTAATAATTTTTCATGTAAAATTTGTTTTGGTGCTTAAATTGTCCACCTGTCACCAGTGGTAGTCTTCTAAGGTCCCTATGGTTTTGTCCTGGGTCCTTAGGATATTCTTCCATCATTTTTGTGAGCACTTCCTTATTTTCTGGCATAACAAAATGATTAAGTTACTTTTTAACTTATCCTGTTCCGGTCCTGAATTAAAACATTTTTCCTTCAACAAACCTTGGTTCATTTTAGTGGGAGAATTGTATTAGAGACCAAGACCTATGTGCTGGATATACAAACATACATCTACATCTACATATGCATATGAATACACATATATGCATACACATATAATATATGCATTCATAATTTATATGTGTGCACATATACAAACACATATAATTGCATGCAATGTAATATATAATGATATAATTAATATATATTTAATGATTAATATGTGTATATAATTTCGTGAGTTCAAAAGCTGGCGTTGTAACTCTGTAGGTTAATCCACAAGGTGAGACATTGGCATCCCATATAGGCAGTAGTTCGAGTCCCAGCTGCTTCACTTCTGGTCCAGCTCCCTAGTAATGGATCTTGGAAAGCAGCCTAAGAAAATTCACATGCATGGGCCTCTATATCTATGTGGAAGACTTGGATGGAGTTCCAGACTCTAGCTGTGGCTTGGACCAGCTGGGAGCTTCTTGAGTCTCCCACATGGGTACAGGGTTCCAAAGACTTGCACCATCCTCTTCTGCTTTCTCAGGTCATAAACAAGGAGTTGGATCAGAAGTGGAACAGCTTGGACACAAACTGGCATCCATATGGGATGCCAGTGCTACAGGTGAAATCTTAGCTTGCTATGCCACAACACCAGCCCCCTGCAGTTTTCTTTTTTCAATTGACAACATTTCCAGAAAATTATTCTATATCTATTCCTGGAGATCATCCTTATTTCTCTTTTCATGGCTGCATTGTGCTTCATTGTAAAGCTTGTTTTTGTTTTTGTATTGTTAGAAATATATGTGGAAGATTACAGATTTTTCTCTTTATGTTAAATTTTCCTATATAGTTTGTGATTCATACTGTACAACAATATGTAAATAGGCAACGCCTTAAGCATTTCTTCTGCCCTTGTCTTTATTGCCTTTTCACAAGAATCATAAGACATCTCCACAAATTTTCTCTCCTTTCATGCAAGCTAGTCAATTGGATGTTTTTAATTATGTCGATCTCCCCCTGTTTAAGTTGATGCTTATCATCTAAAGACTTTCAAAAACAGAAGTATAACTATCTGATCCCTTTCCATATTTGGGAGAGAATGTTCCAGACAACAGAGATGTTCCTATAGGATCTAACCCTAAAGGAATGTAGGAATCAGATTCAGAAAGGAATAAACATGTGTAGTGCCAGAGTAAGAAGCAGATATTATTTCTTGGCTTTTCTGTGATGGTTTGGAACACAACTTGTTTGTGAGGCTCAGAAGCAGGAGTAGAATCATAAGCTCTGAAAGATTCACTACCTTGTAAAGGCAAAGCAAAATTGTTGTGCAACCCATGATTTGTCATATAGTGGAGAGAACACTGGACTAGAATGAAAAGATACCAGGGTTCCTCAATGTCATCAACAACTCTCAGTGGCCATGGGCAAGTCATCTTTCTTCTCCTAATCCTACCTTCCCATTTGTAAAGTAAGGGAAATCTGATGTGTAGGTGCTTGTTTTGCCTCTAAGTATTCACATTTCTGTGGTCTGCACAAGACTGTCCCATCCATTCAAGCTCAGAGGAGTGGACATTTGTAATAAAGATTCATAGAGTCTGTAACAGCAGTGATCTAATGAAAGTTTACACATTGCCTATTTCTGTTACTTGGCAAAAATTGAAAGTAAGCTAACTTTTGCTAGTGATTGCATTCAATTGCCAGAAATGAGGAGCCTGGCATAAGCCTAGCTCTGTGGGGTAAAAGAAATAGTTGAATTATAAACCCTGGTTCATCTCATATTCCTTCTAAGGTACCAAGCAATCCCCCTCCAAAAAAACAAAATGAATTTACTTGGTGGGTGGGAGTGTGGGAGCTTACAATGAATTTTCATTGTGTCTTTCATGGTCTCTTATCTCTGTGTCAATGTATATCTCTTTGCTCCACTTTACAGGTCTGTATAATTCAGTGGATAGCTGGATGATTGTGCCCAACATTAAACAGAATCATTACACAGTGCATGGACTCCAGAGTGGGACCCGCTACATCTTCATTGTCAAAGCCATAAACCAGGCAGGCAGCCGGAACAGTGAACCTACTCGATTGAAAACAAACAGTACGTTTTGATGATCAGGTTTCCCCTCTATGGCAGGAAGTGTGCCTGAGCCTGTGCAATCATCCGCAATAATACATGAGTGTGGTGCTACTGGGTAGCCGAGCTTTACTATTGCACTTTTTGCTTTGGGCAAGGGGTTGTTGGATTCCCCTGAAAAGTTTGTGTGCACTGAGATATACATAGAATTAGCTGGTTGGGTATCTTGGGAGGATGTTAGTGAAGAGATATTCTCTGCTTTTTGTCCCCTATGCTTGGCAGATAATAAAATAAAATACATTTTTTAGTAGAACTCCACTGCAGAGAAGCCATTTCTGTTAAGAAGTCTTTGGACTGCAAATAGCAGAAATACAACTAAGTTGGCTTAACAGATAGTATTTGTTAATAGCTTAAATGAATAGTATTGCTTTTCATCTCTAGCAACAAGTTTGGCAATAGGCATTTCAAGGCTAGTGCGGCAGCTCTGTGATGTCGTAGAGAGTGCAGCCTCCTTTTCCATTTGTGCTTTGATTTATTGCCAAATGGTCACAACATGACCACTGCAGCCCTCAGATGTCACATTTCCTCTTCAGATAAGGAGGAACAAAGGGTTGGTACACAGAGTGGCTATTTTATTATGAAAGCAGAAACTTTCCTACTCTCTGACTTCTGCTTTCATCTTCTTAGCCACCCCCAGCAACAAGGTAGGTGGTAAGTCTGACTATTTAGTTTTTGTGGCCTCTGTAGTGAAAATGGAGAAGAGAGAAAAAGTTGGAAAGGGATGTTGTATTAACTATTTATTTGTATAGTAAAACTGTTACCATATCCAACACCTGCCTTCCCACCTTGTCATAATGTTTTTGTCATGTAACTATAAGGAAATCTCTGTTTTGAATGATCTTACACAACAAATGCTTTTTTTCTGATCATTGATGATAAAACAGTCACTTTAACAAAAATGTTCAATTACCTGTTGTTTACATCTCAGTTGTAGGAGGGTAAACCATTGTCCTTTCATTGAGTTCTCAGTTTTTATTTTGCTCTGCCACCAGATAGCAATTGCTTCATCTTTTTCCCTTTGTCTAATTCCAAACATCATCACACTCCCTCTCTTAAAATATACCCATATCCCAAACCACTCCCTGAAATAAAGCAAAATGCAAAACGTGTCTGAGAACATGAGAATCTGGGAGTCTGCTTTAAATTTGATAATATATGACAAAGGGGGCAGTTTGTTAGCATCTATATAATTGAAATATGAATTCCAACAAAATGCTCATGAGAAAGCCACATTTTTTCCAGAGTGGGAAAATATATATCTCTAAGATAATTTTATGGAAGATTAATCTGTGGTCTTGTTTTATTGAAGACTTTGGCTTCTGTCTTACCTTTCTGATAAAATTTAAACAGCAGCCAACTTAAACTGACCTATGAATGATCGTTATATTGAGGTGCCCCTGGTAGTGATAATGGTCCTGAATGACAAAGGTAGAATTCTTAAGTACTTCATCGTGATTTTTTCCCCCCTACCTTTTCTAGGCCAGCCCTTTAAACTGGATCCCAAGATGACTCATAAGAAGTTGAAGATCTCTAATGATGGCCTGCAAATGGAGAAGGATGAAAGCTCTCTGAAGAAAAGTCATACTCCAGAGAGATTTAGTGGTACAGGATGCTATGGGGCAGCAGGGAATATATTCATTGACAGTGGCTGCCACTACTGGGAGGTTGTCATGGGTTCCTCAACATGGTAAGTGGTTTCCTTTTTTATTTTCTTTGGTGTTGCGTTCCTGGGAGGCAGAATTATATAGCTCAACCATAATACCAACAAGTCAAGGATAAAAGTGATTAAATTATATGTGATGAAAATCACTTCTAGAAAGTTTTGCCAGGCTCTTAAAAATAAAATTATGGAAAATATGACTGGCATAGAAGTTGGAAATTACTGTATCATTTCAACTGCTAACTTTTTAAAGCCATTTGTTATATGAACATTCTGTGATTGAATGTAAACTATTTAAGGAAGAAACAGTGAATGGTTTTTTTTTCAATATCCCCCACAGTGTCTAGCATAAGTCAGATCATTCATGAATGTTTGTCTCTCTCCACTTTTTGACTGTCTCGCAGGTATGCGATTGGTATTGCCTATAAATCAGCGCCAAAGAATGAATGGATTGGCAAGAATGCTTCTTCATGGGTCTTCTCTCGCTGTAATAGTAACTTCGTGGTGAGACATAACAACAAGGAGATGCTGGTGGATGTACCTCCGCAGCTGAAGCGTCTGGGGGTCCTCCTGGATTATGACAACAACATGCTGTCTTTCTATGATCCAGCTAACTCTCTCCACCTCCATACTTTTGATGTGACCTTCATCCTTCCAGTTTGTCCAACATTTACAATCTGGAACAAATCCCTCATGATACTGTCTGGCTTGCCTGCCCCTGATTTCATTGATTACCCTGAGCGGCAGGAATGCAACTGCAGGCCACAAGAATCTCCCTATGTTTCTGGGGTGAAGGCTTGCCATTAGGTTTCAAGAGAGCATAGAATTCACTGGCTCTCCAGGTCAGCAGTCCCTGCTTTCATAAGCCTCAGTTAGCATTCAACATATGAGATACAAAATAAAGTTCATTTGAAGCACCCCAAGTAACTAGATACTGTAGATTTAATTTTGTGCATTAAAACTTATATTTGAATTAATATATTGAGTTTCTCAGAATGAATAATCTGAGTAGTCTGAGTTCAAACCATGGAACCAAGAAGAAATTTAGAGAATGCCTCTGCTGTCATTGGAAAAATTTTAAATTCCCAGTGATATCAGAGTATAAATGGTATTGGAAGGAATTAGAGTAATTCAAGATAAATAATGTAGAAAGATGCTTTGAAGGAGGGTCTAGTTAACCAGAAGTAAGGACTGTGGGCAGCCTTCTTAGTGCTGGCCTGTTTGGCCAAATACAATTTCTAACAGTGTCAAATTCTCATATATTGTGTTGTTTTTGTCAAAAACCTACAACCAAGAATTTGTTATAAGGAAACAACTGTGTATATGTAACATACAAAATGAACAGTTTCTAAGCTGCTCCTTTGAGTAAGAAATCAACCTTAAAGGAAACATCAAAATAAGCCCCTCACTCCCTCCAGTTCTTTCCTTATTCTACACACTCAATCATGACATAGATTATGAGATAGTGAGAAGAACTCCAGATGGGATTAGGAGAGATTTGGAGACGCTATTGCACAAGAGATACTACTGCTGAATAGAAATCTGATACAGCTAGAAGAGTCCAATATAGCACAATTTCTCAAATGCTTCTTAATGGAGGAAGTCCGTCTAAAGTGGCTTTTTTTTTTTTCAAACGGAAAGAATGTTTCAAAGAAATACAATTCTATTACTCTCAAGTACAGTTACTAGCATTAGACTAAAAAGATGGTTCTATAGTGAATTTCTTTAGGAATTTGCTTTATTTAACCTGTAGGAATGGAGTGTTAAGATACAACTATTTGCATAGAGATGTATTTTCAGATAAGCACTCTGGAAGTGCTGAAGAATGTCTAACAACATTCTTTTCCTTAAACAAATTAAGTGATCATTCCTCTTACACTCTTGTTTACACTATTCATTGGTTTAGCCAACCCTTCCTAGGAAATACAGAAATAAACTTCCTCCAAGTCTTCACCAGTGTAGTCAAAGGCTAAGTAGTCTGTGATTATGTCAGCTCAGCTTCAGGGGTTGACCATGTCAAGAGCCAAAGCTTTGCCAGAGCTAAGGCTGCTTCAAGCAGTCTACTCCTTTGGAACTGTGGAAATGTTATAGCTGTACAGTTCCAAAGTGGTATTGGAACAACCCCTAAGATTGGAGCTTTGAAACAACATCAAAACTTCTCCACTCCTTGTTTCCATGGGCTTGGTGGATGTCCATTTTTTAGTCTGTTCAATGAACTCTTAGAAGGTATCCCTACTACCATGGAAGTGCACTTATTCACAAAACACGTTCCTTGCTCTTGAATGGCTTGTTACTCTGTAGGAGACATTATATACATCTCTGTTTCAGTTACAGTTGTGTATTGTCTGTTCACTTAACATGGAAAACAAGACTGATGGAGATTTAAAAAAAAAAGGCTCAAACTGCAAATCTGATAGAAAAGTTGTTTGTAGAGACTGTAGCAACCTCCCTACGATTCAACAGCACTGCTAAATAGCTTGCTGTAGTGGAAAGCCCAGAATCTTTGGAATAAAATGATCCTAGCTTATCTATCATTTACTAATCATGTGACCTAGAGAGCAAGTACTTCACCTCTCTGAGCCTGTTTTCTCTTCTGTAAGATAACATCTGAGACACATGGGGGTTTCAAAGATATAAAATGATAGCATGTTTCAACTGCCTAGCACAGTATCTGGCATTTGTTAATTGTGCCATAAATATTAAACTCCTCCCTATATTTAGCCCCCCTACAATATAGTGGTGCTTTAAAATATATTTCATTGAAAGTTTCCTTCATTCCTCAGTTATCTTGGTCTCTTCCCTTAAGGCTGTCTCCAAATTCTTAAACAAAACAAATACCTTTCCTCCTTTCATAGCACATTCCACTGACTCTTAGCATTCAGTAGGAGGCCACGATTCCTTAGAATTTGGCTTTTGGTGTTCTTGTTGGCTTTCCCAGTTTTATCTTTTGCCACGACTGTGCTTACTAAGTTAAACTATTTACACAAGTTATTCTTTGGGCTCAGAGAAGAGACATTAGTATTTTTAATGTCCAGATTCATCAATAGGAATTTCTCTTAAATCAAGTGAATAGTGTGAAAATGCTGTGTAAGTATGGAACATTCCACCTCCACCCTAGTCCGGTTTCCTTTGTCTTGTATTTGACACTCCAGCGTCATTATTTTTGTGCCCTTTAGATTTTAGTACCCTGAGATAAAGTTTTATTTGCCCACCTTACTTTTGCCCTTAGCTTGGGCTACATTTCCCTATACCTGCCTCACTCAATCAGACCAACTCCTGATCTGTCTTTCTGAGCAATAATCACTTTGTATTGTAGTCTATTTCAAAGGATGTTCTTCAGACCACCTATGTTAGAACTGCCTTTGTTGTTTGTTAAAACAATTAATATCTCAGTACCAACTCCTGATCTACTTAATTAGAATATCTGGGAGCATTGGTAGAAATTTTCATTTTTTTGACAATTCAAGTTATTTCAATGCACACAAATATTTAATGAGTACTAATCATCTTCTCTGTTAGACTGAAGTCCATGAGGACAAGGACTTTTTCTTTTATTGTGGCTATAATATTTTTAATACCAGGTACAGTGTCTGGACCAGAGTGGTGACCTGGTTAATGTATATTGAATGATGGATGGATGAATGAAAACTCAAAGTTCCCGCCTTGTACTCTGATGTCCACAGTGGTATTCTTATATCCTGAGCAGAAAAGCTTGATGGCTTCCTCATTAGAGCTGTATTGTTACCATTTTTCATAAGCACCAGGACTTATACATATAGTTGAGCACTGTCCTCAAAAACTCTTCAGCAATTGTCTTGGAGAATTACCTTTAGAGTGTGTGGCACCTTTCTTTTCAACATTTTAAGTTTTTAAAACTTTGAAGATGAATATAAATGTTGGGTGTAGCCAAAAATCACTCAGAGCTAAGTCTGAAGAATAAAATCAAAAATTAAATTGGCTTTGGGGTAAGCAATGAAGGTTGACACTTAAGTCCCAATGTAGGAGCCAAATAATGGAGAGTTATTTCCAAGATGCAACAAAGTACTTAGTAGGCATGTGGTGAGTCCCAAATAACTACTTCAGTAAATTTAAGACTTCATTAAATAAGGAGAGTATTGGAGACCTTAAGGGAAGTCATTGCTTACCTCTAGATAGACCCAGTTGAACACAGAGAATAGGATTGATATTTAAATTAGAGAAGGTGATTCCATAAGATTTTTCTTGGTTTTGTGTGTTTTGTTTTGTGGGTTTCTTTTTTATTCAGTCTATTCTCTACATTTCTTTCTGTTTGAAAAGCATTTTCTGTCTGCAATTTCTGCTTGTTTTTAGTTTTTATATTCTCATATTGAACAAAGCACAAAATAGTAAAAATAACATTAATCTTGCTTTGAGAATATGAAAAAATTTAATGCCATATTGAAATAAGTATTTGTAAGTAAGAATGACTGCATCTGGACCTGTTTTTATTATGTAATTCCATTGTGTGTCTTTGGATGCAGTGAAATTCAGATGGCAGCAAAATCACCTATATATGCTTTTTAGCTACAACACACTAGGTGAATTTTCTAAGCTTCCATGGTTTACATATTTATATATGACTACTTGGATGGAGCAATCCAGAGATGGACTTTCAAATGAGTTCAAATATTTGATACCCTTTCTTCCAAGGAACAGAGAATGTAAGGCAGGTAAATAAGAACCACCGTCATACTTATTTCTAGCTCCTGAAGCCAGTTACAGCCTCGGAGCCACTGAACTCTTTTGGCTGTGTTTTACAGGTCAGATGGACTAATTGCCATCAAGTTAGACAAAATTCCCTCTTATGGTGGGGGTCTGCCAACTCCAGACATATGCTGTGTTGTTATTGCTTAGAATATTTATTGGACTATTGTTGGACTATTTTTTATCCAATGCTTTACCCCAGGCCTGTTTGTACTGGGAGCTCTGGACCAGTACTGTCTCTCCAAGTGATGGAAATATGAACATCTGCAGATTATACAGCCTCATCCCTCTCTAAAATATCCCAGCCCATCCAAAATGCTATATTATGAATTAAATAAATATATAATGAATTCATGAGTTTCTGGTTGTCTCTTGCTGGAGTTTAGTTGTGGGCATGTGTATAAGGAAGATGTGGGTTACTGGAAATGGGTAAATGACTTGGGTGAAACAAATTACTGTATAAAGGATCTGTACACAAAGAGGGCCAAGGTGTCTGAAACTCGCAATTCAGTCAGGAAGATTTAGACTTTAGCAGCATAAGTACCATAAGAAATAAATTTTTAAGGCCAAAGAAAACATGACACATTAAATTTCAGGGACTGAAACAAAATTAGAATCAAGGATATGCTTTCAATGAATTCCCTGCTACCACTTGTATTATTCTGTTCGAGTACATATTCCAGGTCCAGTATTGCCACCTTTTAAAACTATTATTCTTAAGGCCTTCAAAGAATGCAATTAAAGGAGATAATAAATTAGCCATCAGTAATGTGCTATTGGAGGAGTGTAGGCAAAATTCACGTCCGTATTCACCTCTTTAGCTTTATATTTTATAAGAAAAAATAGCTGGTATGGTCAAAAGCCAATGCTTTTATTATCCAACCTGGGGGTGACAAACTGGGAAGGGCATGCTTCACACCTTTAGACTGAGAAGGTTCGGCTGGCAATGCCTTAACTGGCCTGTAGAATATATGCTTTGATTCAAGGAGAGTCTTTCAAACAATGTGATATAGATGGCAACTCTATAGGAATGGCCTTACTCATAGAATGCAAAGAGGATCTGCTACTCCTCCAGCCAGATTGAAAATCCCAAAAAATGGAATCTGGGCTGATTTTCTCATTGATGTGCGGTAGTAGGAAAAAAACCACCTACTTCAATTCAGAATTGCAAAACTTAAGAACTAGAGATAGCAAGAAGCTTGAGATTCTCTTGCCGGGCCTGAATTTGTTGTATGTATTATTACTGCCACATCTCTAAAGAGAATGTGGAGAACTAAATGGCGTGAAAGTCAGCAGAAGGGAAAGAGAAAGCTCCGCAATAGAATCTGGCTAGATTTAGTTTTGCTTCCCCATTGGAGGAAGTTACCTGGGCTTTCAACTTACCTTTGCAGAACTGCTCCACTCTGGCACTGTGATGCTCTTGTATTATTTACAAAGGTAGCTTAGGCAAAGGCTTGGATCATAGCTAATCCTAATTTATACAAAATGCTTCTGGTCTTGCTAAACTGGAGGCCTGGAAGTTGCTGCTTTGAGATTATCTCCCAATCATCTCCTATCTCCCAATGTCTCCTTATCCTCTGTGATGGTAGTCAGGGGGGTTTTTCATGTCTCCTACCTCCTGGATTCTGATGAGTTACGAGGCCACCTGACATTTCCTTCAGAATGGAGCTGTAGACTATAAAGCAATCTAACAGTAGTGTAGAATGAGCTTCTTAGCAACTGAATACCCCACGATTGACTTGGCAGTCCTCTGGCCCCTTTTGTTTCAGTGGAATTCTGAATTGAAGTACATGGTTAATTTCTAAGTTCTCTTCTAACGCTAACAGTAGATTCCCATAAATGCAAATTTAGTAAAAGTGTAATGATAGGAGCCTGATCTACCTACCCCAAGAATATTGGAAACATCAGGACAGACTATCAGGAATCCTATGACAGGAAAACAGAGTTGGGTAACATTGTTACTTTAGGACCATCATCAGATTCATCATGTGACTATCTTCCCCACATACACCTTGTGTCACTTAGAGCTTCCCTGTCAATCCTCCAACTTACATTTATTCACTACCTTTATTTTTAAGTTTTATTTATGGATTTGAAAGGCAGCATTCAGGGAGGGAGGAGGGAGGAAGAGGGAATCAATCATCCATCTTCTGGTTCACTGCCCAGATGTCTGCAGCTGCTGGGGCTGGGGTGGTTGAAGCCATTGCTCTAGTTAGTCATGTCTAGGTTTCAAAGTTCAGGGCTGCTGTCTGACAGTATTCCATGTGTCCATGTAGGGAAATTGCCAAAGACATTCCATTTTCCAAGGGCAGGGCAGTGTAGGTGATCACTTGCTATAGAAACCGCAGGGCTCTTGGGCGTGACATTTCTTTCTTTTTTTTTTAAGATTTGTTTATTTTTATTGGAAAGGCGGATATACAGAGAGGAGGATATATAGAGAGGAAGATCTTCCCCAAGCGGGTTAACTCCCCAAGCAGTTGCAATGGCTGGAGCCGAGCCTATTCGAAACCAGGAGCCAGGAGCTCTTCCGGGTCTCCCACAGGGGTGCAGGGTCCTAAGGTTTTGGGCCGTCCTCGACTGCTTTCCCAGGCCACAAGCAGGGAGCTGGTGGGAAGTGGAGCTGCCGGGATTAGAACCAGTGTCCATATGGGATCCCAGCGTGTGCAAGGCAAGGACCTTAGCCACTACGCTATTGCGCTGGGCCCGTGACATTTCTTAATAATGGCCTTTTTTTGTCCAAACTCCCACAAAAGTCTTTACATTGCAGAGGGGCACTTGATATAGCCACTAGTCTTAATTAACAATTGATTATTTAATTATTTATTAAACATATTACTGGTCAGTCTCTTTCTGCCACATGTTGGAGTTCAGGGAAAAGACACAGAATCCCTGCCCTCATGAGACTCACAAGCTAGAGTGGAGACACCCCATTAGTCAGTGAATGCTTTCATAAACATGGGCGCCAGCATTGGTTGGCTGCTGTGTACGTGAGAGGCAGTGACTCATTTAACCCTTCCAGAAATACTATAAGGTAAATTACAAATAAATTATATAAAATAAAGACTTATTGGCTTTTCAGGCCATGAACAGTTAATGTTTATTTCAATGGCCAGAGCAAGCACCAGGGATTTTTTTTTTTTTTGCTGTTTTATTAAAATTTATCGATACATCATGTTTTTACATAGATAGGTATTTCAAAAAACATTGATGAGTGGAAATGGAATTAAAAGTGAAGTTGGGTTTAGTGCAAAAACTTTTTTGAATTCCATATGTTCATAAAGCAGTCTTCAGATGGAGTTCATGGAAAATATGTGATGAGAAAACTATGTGAAGAACTTCAAAAATTTTAACACCAAAAATAAACACCCTTTAAAAAAAATGGTTTGTTTGAAAGGCAGTTGCAGACAGAGGGAGAGACAAAGACTTCTTTCATCTGCTAGTTAATTTCCCAAATGGCAACTAGAAGACAGACACCTAAAACTCCATCCAGGTCTCCCATGTGAGCCCTCAGGCTATCTCCTGCTGACTCCCAGGTGCCTTATCCGCACTCATATGGGATGCTGGAGGTGGTGGTTTAAGCCACAGCATCAGCCCTTAAACTTCTCTTTTGGTTTTATTTTTTTAAGAGATTTATTTAGTTTTATTGGAAAGACGGATTTACAGAGACAAGGAGAGACAAAGATCTTTTGTAGGCTGGTTTTATTCCCCAAGTGGCTGCACCAGCTCGAGCTGAGACTAACTTAAGTCAGGAGCCAGGAGCTTCCTCTGGGTCTCCATGTGGGTCCAGGGTCCCAAGGCTTTTGGCCGTCCTATACCGCCTTCACAGGCCACAAGCAAGGAACTGAAAGAGAAGTGGAGCACCAGGTACACAAACCGGCAACCATATGGGATCCTGGCGGGTGCAAGGTGAGGCTTTAGCCATTGAGCCAATGTGCCAGGCCCTAAACTTATCTTTCGATTGCACCTTTCTTTAACTTTCTGAAGTATCCCCATGTTTTTGAGGTAGAGTATAACTTCATACATATTTGTGATATGTCTCATGTAGAGGAAGGAGGATCTAATGTTTATTTCATATCCATACCTTCTACTTAAGAGAGGCATTCAAAGTGCAGGTACGTATACAGTACACCAAGTGATAACATCTATTGAAAAGATGAGGAAAGATGTTTATACAAGTGAACATAAGTGGGGAGTGGAGTGGACCAGGAGAAAGGGAGTTGGGGACAAGTGGAGAGAGGACACCAGCATTTCCTCCTCTGGGGAATGTGAAACCACAGGAAGCACCCAGCGCACTGCCAGGGCTGAAGGGGAGTGGCTACACTGCGCCTTCCACTCCCTCTTCCCCAGCCTCAGCTATGAGAAAACAACCTGCGCAGGTGGAATCCCAGGAACCCCGGTTTGCGGTGTGGGACCTACAGCTCCGCGGTCCTAGGCTACCTGCTCCTTAGCAGAATCAGGTAAGATGCTTCTTATGGGGCTTTCTACTCCTCCTTTCTAGTTCTTCTTTTTCTTTATAAAAAGTTTATTTTCATTGGAAAGGTAGATCATATTTACAGAGAGGAAGGAGAGACAAAAAGATGTTCCATCCACTGGTTCACTCCCCAAATGGCCGCAATGGCCGGAGTTGAGCTGATCCGAAGCCAGGAAGCAGGAGCTTCTTTTGGTTCTCCCACACAGGTGCACGGTCCAAAGGCCTTGGTCCATCCTCCTCTGCTTAACCAGGCCATAAGCAGGGAGGTGGATGGCAAGTGGAGTTCAAGGTCCAGTGCTAAAGAAATGACCTAGCCCAGTGGCTCCCGGAATCTGGGTAAGCAGGAAGGATTTACAAGTTTTTTTTCAGACACCTCAAAATCGCCTCTAGTGCAGTCTTTGCATCTTTATTCTCCATACTAGCTCTCGCCCACCCCCGCTTTTGTCTCTTGTTCCCCAATGTTCCCTCTTTCCAGCCCGGTCCTTCCTCCGGGCCGCCTCCTCTGAGTCATTTCCCCTTCCCCGCCCCAAAATCTTGGCTCTTTCCGAGTATCTCTTCCTCGCCAGCAGGAAGTAAAGGAAAGGCAAACTGGCTTTGGGAACCCAGGTGAGCGCTTTGATCAGCGAGAATGAGAGAGACCTCGGCAGCCCTCTGGATTCTCAGGGAGGGACAAATGGGCGGCGTCTGTCGGCCGAGTGCCTGGCGTCTACACCGTCTGAAGGCCTTGGTGCCCGAACGTGGGAGCTGCCGCACCTCTCCCGGTGTCTCCTGGGATGTGAGGAGCGGAAAAAGCGGCCCAGTTAGGGGGTGCTGCTGCGGGCTTTCGCAGGGTGAGCCCTGCACTATGCTCTGGGACTTCGCTTGGGAAGCTAGGGGGCGGAGG